CCGTGCCTGACGCGGTCTCTCTTTGCCCCGCAGGGAATCAATGGGCTTCATGAAGAATGGGCTGCAAGAAGGAAAAGGCATGCAGCAGGTCTAATGATGTCTTCTGGACTCCGATCTTGGAAAACCCTATTGTTTTCCTGAGATCATGTGTGGCCTTGTAACTCACACGACACATCAGAGAGAATAACCCGAGTTCTGTCTGTTTATAACGTTTTAATGGCTTTCTAGATGGAGTCCCTTTGTTTACCCAGACTGGCCTTCTGCAACAGGTGATAGGACTTCCTTGGGCTGATTGAACTAAATTTGGGAAATACTGTTACAGATATTATTTAAAATTTTCTAAAAACAAGGACTACATAAAGCATTCTGTAATAAATCCTGAAGATCCAGTAGAAGAAATAATATCAAAAAATTACATTTTATCTCTAGTCTAAACCTTATTTTTAAAGAATTGCTTTTTGCTCAACTTCTAACAGTAACGCTGAAAAGTTCCCTTTAGAAATCAAAAAGGTTCTTTTCTTCTCTCTCTAAGCTTGTCTTGACTGTTGCCATTTTAATATATAATCTCCTTTCTGATAAGATAAAGACCTTGGTCTTCCCGTGCATTATACTACCAGGTAGATTTTTCAGTCCTTCAATCATTTTCACAGATTTTTTTTTTTTTTTTTTTAATCCTTCCTAGTGATTCAATATGTTCTAGAAATTTAGGCTGTGGAAGTATTTTATTAAGGAATGCAGCATTTTCAAATGCAAAAAGCCTCATATCAGATATGCTTTCATCATCCTCATGAAACGGCCTGTCCATCTTATTCATCTCCTATGCCCTCTAGAGCTTCTTCTCGGTTCTGTTTCCTGAGATAGGCTTTTCCATGGACTCCCTCTGAATTGCCTGGCCTTTTCCTGGCTACAGGACTTTGTGTTCTCCCCTGCTCAGATAAATGTTTCTTTATGTTCAGCTTGCCAAGTTATCCAAGTTACATAAAACAACCAGTCCTCTTCCCCATATGCCACTGAAGCTATATTTTTATCTTCAAACTCTATTGATTTGCACTTTTTTTTCCTTTTATGTAGAAATATTTGAAATGGTAGCTAGGTACAAGGTGCTATTGACTTGTTCAGAAGTTGTTTTCCATTTAAAGTTCTAATTTGAGATGTATCATTAGCTAGATTTTTTGCTAATTTAATATGGTCTATGTTGAATTTTCATCCTTCTAGTTTTCCTCATTAAATGGTCATCAATATGAGCTGAAAAAACTGAAAGTTTTTGAACCAATATGGTTGCCATCATCATCCAAACTTGTAATCTCATCAATAAAAGCCATCAAGTTAGTTCAATAAGGTTTGTTTTCCATAAACTCATGTTGAACAGAATCAGTTATTATTAATGATCATCATTAATTATCCACCTTTAATTCTTTATAAATTGAATCTTATATCAGCTGTTACATCACAGGAGTCTTATATAATTTTTCCTCTAATCATTGTTAGACTGACATGTCTTCTCATTTACCCCTAAAATATTGGCACAAAATTAGCTTTCCTTTTCACTGTGGCTTTTCTGGTGCTCCAGTTCTTATTGAGAATTAACATTAATGGTTCAGAGTATTTATTTACTTGATTTTTCTAAAACTTTTCAATGAAAATTACCTCAATCTTTTTATTTGGAAATGTGTGCTGTTATTAACTGCCTTTTAATTCTCTGGAGTGACCACTGGAATGGAAAATAATTCAGCCTTACTTTATGATAAAATTTCTACTTTCTCCACTCCTAAACAGACAGTGGGGCTATGCACTGAGCATGCATGGTTTGTCTACATTACTATTCTTTATTTTGTATTTCCCATCTGCTAGTGCAAAACCAATATTGTTCTCCTTAATTTGCTTTTAATATCCTTTTTAAAAAACTCAGTCTCTCTTCTTATTGACGTTAGCAACCATGGCAGATCTTATTGCCTTTTCAATTTGGTAATTGATTAATCTTGAGTTACTTGAATCTGGTGAAGTTCATTATTAAATGATTGTGCATTCTTTTACTTTTGTTTTCTTTATTTTCTCTGGTTTCTACTTCTACGTAGGCTAATTATGTTGTGATATTATTTCCCTCCCCTTGCATTTAATATGGTCCTTAATTGCCATCAATTAATTGAAATCAACTCATTAAAAGCAAAATAGGATAATTGCTGACTGGATTTTTTTCTGTGCAAATATCAAATCTAAGAATTTGTACTAATATAACCATGATTTTTACCTAGTAGTGTATTAGAAATTTTTACCTCTAACTTTGAATTCTAAAAGAATGTTAACAGAATTTCTTCAGCATATGTCACTCCTGTGATTACACAGCCATTTAGTTCTCCTTCACTATAGACAGGTGCTCACCTGAGCCCCAAGCATCCTACTGTGATATGGTGACTTGCTGCCAATCCCAGCTGGTACTTTGTACTTTGCCAGTTGAATATTCACCCCCAAACTTCCAATATTTTTCACTTCTACACTGTCAGCACTTAGTAAGAACCATTTTTGACATGAAGTGTCTTTTTGTGCTCTTTCTCCCAACTTTTCCTTTTCTAAATAGATTACAGCCAGTGATTTCAGTATTCCAGTCATGCAGATCACCCAATCAAGTACCACTAATGCCAGTGAGGAAAAATTCATGCTCATAAATGAACCATTCCAGCTCTTGTTTACTAAAAAGGCTCCTAGACTTGCTATATAGGCGATTAAAGATTTTTTTTCTTCCTCGTATACTTTGAATTGATTAATTTTGTTCTGTCTCCATTTTTTGCTACATTTGGTGTTTTTCTTCCCCTTATCCCTCCATCATTCCCTCTTTTTATTAGTTTCTTCTCCTCAGACAACACTTGCAAAAGGGCTCTGGTGCCTTGCTGCTTGGTAAAATGTACAGTAGAAGTTCCCAATGCAATGT